TGGGTAAGTTTGGAATCCAGAGAAAACGCAAATGATTCCCCTTTCATTGGGAAAACTGAGGAATATAGAAAAGTGTTCACAGAACCAAAGGAGAGATCTGGCCGAGGCCTGCGAGGTTCGACCTGCAAGGAGCGCATCTTGGTTAGTTGAAATTTGAATTGCTTCTCACGCCTCTCCTTCACTCATGGCTGCCGTGAGGGCAGCGTTTTACTGCCTCCGCCATTCACACATCTGTTAGTACGTTCTGCTCGGGCTGCATGAGTTATCGGTAAACTTAGGCCCAGTGGGAATTTTCTCCTGGGGACAAATGCGCCCCAGAGCAAGTGCCATCCGATGTGCTTTGCATCTTCAGCTAACCAGGAGGTCCCGAGTGTCCCCCCTTTATCTGTGGGTGGGGCTGACGGCATGAAAGCAAGGTGGTGGCACACCTCTGAGGGACCAAGCAGAGAGTGGAAAAGGCGTCTTGGGGTGGTTCTTTTGAATGGCCTGGATGTGTGTCTGCGTAGAGCCACAGGGTGCTGATCGAAGCCGTGTGGACATTCGATGGCAGAAGCCCTTACCTGCCACTCTGCTCACTTTGCAGATTGCCTTGCAGTTTCCCTGCAGATTCTGGGACAGTAAAGTTCAAGGGGCTGACTACTTCGGTCACGTCCCTCCGAGCGCCAGCAAGCGAGGGCTTTTTGCCGTGTTCTATGACCTGGATCCCGAGGTAAGGTGGCCGGTGAGCTGTGAGTTGAAAGACCTTACATACAGGTAAAATTATGATGTTTGTTTTGAAGCCTGTAAAGCGGCCTGTAGGGGAACGAGACAGGGTCTAGTTGAGGGCAGGGCACACGTCTGTGGATGTGAGGGGCAGAAGAGAGACGAGGAGGAAGGACGTGCTCAGGGCTTGGAAGCGGAGGTAATTAATTGCCTGCTGATAGTGTCAGTGCCCCAGAAGGAACATCATCCAAACTGCTCTCGCTCGGTCTCCCATTTCCTACCACCTTAGTCTTAGAAACGTGCCTGGGGCAACCAGAGTCAGCATAGCCATGTGAGTCGTTGAAGAACATGTTTACTTCTGTTTTTGTGTGTGTGCATGTGCACACGCACGTGTGCGTCTTTTCAGTGAAAGTTTCCACACAAGTTAAGCTCCCGTTTAACAGATTCTACCCAGATTGTCCAGTGACAGCAGCTGCATTTTCCACGCTGCGCTAACACTCTCGCGAACTCCCTTCGAGCCGTCTGCTTCCAGTGGTCTCGTCTCCCTGCCCCCTTCCCCTTAGATCTGTGCTGCTGTTCTGAAAAGTTTGCAGTATCACTGGGAATGCTTTCTGTTTTATGAACCAGTCTGAATTCGCTAAAAGGTGTCCCTCGGGGTAGTCCAATTCACGGTTTATGAAGGATCGCAGGGTAATCATCTCATCTCTGTCTGGTCTGTTGAAGAGTTTGAGTGTTGCTCCACGTCCCCCTGTCCGTGAGGATCGCGCCTGAGTGTTGAGGAAATGTTTTCCCATCATTTCATGGACAGACTGCCACTGCCCCTCCTTGCTCTGCTGTTTCTAAGACAAGTGCTTGCAGGGGGAAAGCTGAGAGGGGCCCACGAGTGGATGTTGCTTTTTGCGCTTTGTCAGAGCGGAGCAGGAGGGCACACGGATGGATACTGCATGTCTGAGGGGCTGCACTGGCGACAGCAGCGGGGCTGAGGGGCAGTCGCTGCAAGCAGGGAGATTTAGTTCGAGAATGAGCCCAGCACGCACCGGAAGCAACACGTCTGAAATGCTCTTTCCCTCTCGTGTCCTCAGAAGAAGCAGAGCGTGCTGATGTCGGTGATTGCTGGTGAGGCGGTCGCGTCCTTGAAGGACCTGGACAGCAAGCAGGTGCTGCAGCAGTGCATGGCCACCCTCCGCGAGCTCTTCAAGGAGCAGGTCAGGAAGCCCCGTGGCCGGCAGGGAACAAGGCAGGCTCCCTGGGATCCCTGCAGCAGACCGCCCTGGCCGAGGATTACGGGGGGAGTCAAGGCGGGGGCCCCGTGCTTCTGCCTTCCGGAGTCCCTGGGAGGTGCCGATGGTGAATGAGGGTAGCCACTCACTGGGCCACTGGAGGTTTGAATCCACCCAGAGGACCCACAGAAGAAAGGGCTGGCGAGTTACTTACAGGAAACCCTTACGGAGCACAGCTCTGCCCTGACGTGTGTGGGCTTCCATGAGGCAGAGTAGGCCCAACAGTGATTGATTTCGTCTGTCTCTCAATTCCCACTTTGCATGGGCGTCCCCTACTTCCGCTCACCTAGGGCCTTCCTCCCTTTCCTTCTCACACCCTGACTTGGAGCATGCCCAGTTAGGTCTCTATAGGTGTCTAATGCCCGTCTGGTTCTCTTCCAACCTCCCATAGGGGGCTTTGTGCAGGCACGAGAGGGACAACCCCCTCTATCCCTGTTCTGACACCTAGCATTAGCGTTTCTCAAAGAGCTCACTCGCCCTGTATTTGCCAGTGCTGAAGCTCTCCACCTGGAGGGAGCCAGGTGTGAACGGCCAGCCATGGCTTCTGTCTTTCTCAGACAAGGAGCACGAGGGAAGGACGTCCTCTGCCTCCCAGTCATGTGCCTTTGGGAGGGGGGACATCTCGGCCCAGAAGGAGGTCTACCTAAAAGGGTGTGCTTGTGACTCAGTAGTGTCAAAAAGTTTACTTTTAGGACAAAAAAAGTTTACTTTTAAGTTAGTTGTTTGGAACTTAGCGTATCCGGTTTCCATAAAAACATTTTTCAAATTTTCAAAACATTTCCACCCTCTTGACACTGTGTTACATGTATTTCTGTGTTTCGGTTTATGAGACTCGGGAGTGATGGACCCAAGGGACAGCAAGTAGAGTAAGTCGGGATGGGGTCGGTGTGGCACAAAGGAGACAACGTCAAGGTGTCCAGGAAGAAAGAGAATGTTTGGAAACGGACTGTGATAGCAATTCTACAATCCTCAGTTCTGCTTAACATGATCGAACTGTGGGATGATAAGATATGTGTATTAACTCCCAATCAATAATCATTTTTTTTTAGAGAAGCAGAACATTGAGAGGTGGGGAGGGGGAATTTATGATAGTGCTTGTCAGGTGCCAGCTGACAGTCAGCCTTTCACAGTCCGTAAGTTCGAACCATGTGCTTGCGTGGTTCATTCATGAAGAATCCTACTGGGAATTCTAACTTGAGGTCCTAGGACTCTTGGCCTTTGAGGCTGGCCCCTGGGGATTGAGGGCTGGGTTTTTAGCTGGCTTAAGGTGTCCAGCAAAAACCCAGGTACAGTCAAGGCTTCCCAACTCATGGCAGTCTCGTGTGTGAGGGGAGAACTGGGCTCCACCGGACTTTCAACTGCTGGTACTTTGTGTTCACCAAGCCCTTCTTCCAAAGTGTCTCTGTGTGGATTGAAAATTATCCTTTGAGTTAACAGCCAAGCATCTCTCTCTCTCTCTCTCTCTCTCACACTCACACACACACACACCACCCCCACCCTCTCTTCTCTGACCTCCGGGTGTACTGTGGGAATGAGTGAGGGAGGCGGGTGTGGGTGGTAAGTAGAGAATTAGCTACTGATCTGCGGCCTGGGGAAAAGATGGGGTTTTCGATTCCCGTAAAGAGTTACAGTCTCGGAAACTCACGGGCAGTTCTGCCCTGACCTGCAGGGCTTATTTGTGAGCCAGCATGCACTTGAGGGCCGCGGTCCGGGTTGGTTTGAAGCTACATTCTGAGAATGTCGGTTTCTGAATGCTGCATGGCTTCACTCGGTTTCTGAAGGAAGAGAGAAGTGTATGTTTGTGGTTGGAGTCTCACCATTTCTAAGTCCCCTGTGATCCCATTTGATGCTTCTCCTCTCCCCATGCAGGAAGTCCCGGATCCCACCAAGTACTTTGTGACGCGGTGGAGCACAGACCCGTGGATCCAGATGGCGTACAGTTTTGTAAAGACAGGTGGGAGTGGTGAGGCGTACGATATCATTGCCGAAGAAATACAAGGCAAAGTCTTCTTTGCTGGTGAGGTAGGTGTCTGCATTCCAAATGCCCCTATTTTGAATAGATTTTGATTTTTGAAGTTTTTTATCTTGACTATGTTTATCATTGAAGTGATCTACACCTCACTTCCTCAACTGGCTGCCTTTGAATGACACTGACTCACCGTGATCCCATAGGCAGGGAAGAACTGCCAGTATGGATTTCTGAGACTGTAAAACTCGTGGCGTGGAGAGCCTCACGTTTCTCTGCACAGCCGCCGATGGTTTTGAACGGTTGTCTGTATGGTTAGCAACGCAATACATGGCCCACCGCACCACCAGGGCTCCTTGCTTCACATGTGCCATCTGCCTATGTCAGTGGCTGTCAGTTCTGAATCCTAGCGACGGTGCACCACTGCCCGGCCCCACACCATCCTCACGACAATTGTGTCTGAGCCCCTTGTTGCAGTCCCCCTTGTGCCGGTCTTCCTCTTTACCCAGGACTGGCCTCTCCTGACGCACTGTCCGGTCTGTGAGATAAAGTCTCCTCTTGCTCAGAAGGAGCCTTCTGGCAGCACTTCTGCCTGATGTTTACACGTAAGAGCCAGGCACTGGAGTCTTGTACCAGAACCAGTCTTCTCAGTGTGGTCATGCTGCCCAGGTGGGTCCCTCTGACCCACGTCACCTGCACCTGCAACAGAAGTAAATGTTGCCCGCCTCCATCACCATCCCCCTGACCTTAATCTATGCCCTCATTGTGGCTATTGCATCGTTCCCTCTCTCAGAGGGTTTCCCGGTGCTGGACTTCAGTAAACATGTGGTCCTTTCCTTAGAGAGGGGTCTTCCAGGGTGGCGTGTCTGAAAGTGAGTGATCGGAGGTCTCACCATACTTGCATCTAAGGCACAGAGGCGGCCGGTTTTTAACAAGACTGCTGGCTTGGAATTTGCTTCCTATATTAGAATATTGCGTGCACCTGCTGTGTGTTGCTTTAACAGCCGTAGACGTAAGTGTGCGAATATTGTGTCAGGTAAATAAAGAGATTGCCTGTTTGAGCCATTCTCTCAACATGCTTATTTTCCAGTTTTCGTTAGAAACTATTCT